ATATTAGTTCAACATATCTGTGCAAAGACGCGATAGTACGAAGATGAAATTTCTTGGTTGTTATATTTTGTTGGTGTCTCTGTGCTGTTTTCTTTCTGATGTCGACACAGCTTTGGTGCCGAAGAAAGGTTTGCTTACTATCATTTTCACAGTCTAAAAATTATCAATTCCATCTAATGTTTAAAGTATTGAAARACGTTGTAGAAATATTGAAAATTAAAATTTGGATCGCAAAGACCAGTGATTTCGGACTCTTTTCTGAAAGTCCCTTCACTTAAATTTTCTCATGATCTAGATTTCTATAGCCCGATTTAGACGGTGCAACTTTGGCCTACAACTATCGCATGCGACCTGCGTAAGTCATCCTTACAACATGCCTACAACTGTCGTAGGGCTATCAAACAATTGTTTTTAATCTCTACGACAGTTGTATCCATCACATGTTGTAAGGATGACTTATGCAGATTGCATGCGATAGTTATAGGTAAAAGTCGCACCCTCTAAATCGGCCTTATACTTTTTGCGCCAGTATGAAATTAAAATTGATCCTTTTGGAAAGGCTGTTGCTCATGTGTCTTTGTGCTGTAAAGATTTGGCAATGGTTGTAACGGGTGCAATTCAATGCTCTTTGTCAAACATGAGTAGGGAGGGCATGATTGTTCAATACACTCCCCTTCTATACCTGTTGAAATTCAGCAATCATGTGTTAAGGAGCCAAAATTTCAATATATTCAATATATATTNAATTATGATTATTGTACTTAAAAACTGTATAGTTTTTGTTTTTTCTAGACCATTATGCACTTAAATTATTAAAAGATGCGATGATTAAATTCGGAAGTGAGTCAGGTGTGTTATCGCCACTGAAGTCATTGCACTATTTTGATTTTGGCATTTCTCTTTCATGCACATACAGTGAAACACAAGGCACATCATGCCTCTGTTATTTTTACACTAGTCGATGGTTTTATTCTCTTTTGTAGGAGTTGCAGCCTTCAATCCTTATGGTCGTTAGACTGACCAACATCAAGGAAAATATGAAGATACAAACTATAGTGATAGTATAGCAGACAAAAAAGGACTAAATGGAGTAATTAAAAACTTGATATCATGATGCATATTATTTTGTAGTGAAAAGCTGGGAAAGGTAGAATGAACGCTACACTTAAAATGACATGGTCCACCASCATCCCTTTCGAGCTTTTGCTCATGTTTGAAAATAAAGTACATGATCGTAATATAAGCAAAGTGTTACTCTYAGTGGCCAATTATTAATTTTATCGCAAATTCGGTACTGCTTCTTGCAATAAATCCGGTTTTAAACTGGTCTTCATCAGKCTGTTTGCAATTCACTTCATTCTGTTTGGATCGGGGATTGACCAGCTGAATCCACAATTCCCGAGGAAAAAATATTGTGAAATATGGATTTTAAAAAAATATGGAATTTGGGATTTGGGATTATTCGGTATAACTTTCAATTCCTGATATTCAAGTGGATTGCTGCCAGTGTGATTCGATTTTATTCAAATGCTCACTTACTTCACTGACTGGAAATAAAAAAAATTGATATTAATTGCATAATTCATTTTAACCTTCTGTGAAAAGCAATCGTAGCACAGTGAAAGACCTGAGTCGCACTGCGCTAAATACCAAWATAAATTATTATTAGTCCTGAAACTTTATATTAAGTTTTGCATCTGTGTTACAGAAAACCAGCCGGGCACGCGTCTTTGTTGACCATGGCATCAGAGAAAATGAGACACTTTTGCGGTTTTAAAAAACCGCATAGTGCTGATCGAACTCTGCTGTAGTTATTTTTGTCTTCAGGATGTGAATGTGTTTTTTTGCTTGTTTTAGCTTTTTCAGAATCTAGACTTTCTGAGAGGTTATTGGCAAATTATGCTGGTAAAGTTAAATTGATGTAACTGACTTTGCTTCACTGGCCAGGTGGCAGTTCATTCATGCTGGTTGTATAATTACCATGCACTTTATCGGACGGCTTTCACATTTGCAAAGGATAAAAAATATTGAGTCTTTTATTATATAAGAATGGGCACAAAAGATTTTCATTAATTCTGTTATTAAAAAGGACACAGAGAACACAGAGAAAGCACCATATTATTTCATCAAAGACAACACAAAAACCAAATTGGCAGGAATGTCTCTCCCCTCAAGCTCTGTAGTCCTTTGTGCCAGTTTTGCAAATACACGACCTTTATTGGATATAATGGGTTTTAAGTTTTCAATAGCTTCATAGATTGCTTCAAGAATTTTTTAAGTAGAAGACAGAAATTGTATTGGATTGAGATACTGCAAGTCATCTGTGCAAAGACGCGATATACGAAGATGAAATTTCTTGGTTGTTATATTTTGTTGGTGTCTCTGTGCTGTTTTCTTTCTGATGTCGACACAGCTTTTGTGCCGAAGAAAGGTTTCAAAGGTTTGCTTACTATCATTTTACAATATCACTGGATTAATATTATCAATTMCATCTAATGTTTAAAATATTGAAAAACGTTGTAAAAATATTGTACATTAAAATTTACAAGACCACTGATTTGCGATGGAATTGAAATTTCGTACTTTTTTTCGAAAATCTCTGCATGTAAATTTAATTTTTTACTTAAAAATCTGTAAAGTCTATCTAGATTTTTCTATTTTTTGCGCAGTATGAAATTGATCCTTTTGGCAAGGATGTTAATTGCTCATGTGTTTTTGTGCTGTAAACATTTGGCAATGGTTGAAACAGTTGGAACGGTACAATTCAAAGTGCTCTTTGGCAAACATGAGTAGGGAGGGCATCATAGYTCAATATACTTCTATAGCTGTTGAAATTCAGCAATGTGTTTAACGTGTTCAATTCATAAACACCAATGCAAGGTCATATAATTATTCACTTTAGGTCCTTGCAACCCTAATCCATGTCCGGAAGGGGAAACGTGCTCTATGAGCATTTTTGGTCAGACTCATTGTACTGGTATGTATAATGATCAAGAATGCTTATTGTACTTAAAAACTGTCGAGTTTTTGGTTTTGCTTCCTAAAAGATTATGCACTTAATTAAAAGGATGCGATGATTAAATTCGGAAGTGAGTCCGGTGTTATCGCCACTAAAGTCACTGCATTTTGCTTCGATATGTCTCTTTCATACAGCTATTTCAAAACACGTTGTCGGGGAGAACGGCGAACGGCAATTGTCGAAGGGAGATTGCACGACCGAAAGGGGCTATTTTGACAAGCAAAATTTCACCTATTGGATTCACCTTACAGTAGAAATGGAGCCAATGTTGACCACAGACTATCTTTCAGTATAAATCAACTGTTATTTCTCATCAATTAGCAAAACCCATGGCTACTTTCGGTCGTACAATCGCCGTTTGACAATTGACATTCGCCATTTTACCCGACAACCTTTTTGAAATAGGTATATGCACATTCA